GTAGAAGAAAGAGCCAGTGAATTTGAAGACCGATCGATAGAAATTGTCCAATATGATTGTCTGAGTAACAAAAAGAAAAAAGATTAAGATAAGTCACCGGTGGGATAATATCAAGCCATCTAATGGATACGTAATTGGAGTCTCAGAAGACGAGGAGAGGAAAGGAAATGAAAAAGAGAGGAGAGAAGAAGAGACAGAAAGAATGGACAGGAAAAAAAAAACCTGAAAATATAATGGCTGAAAATTTCTGATATTTGGTTGAAAATGCCAAACTGTGTATCAGAAAAGCTCAGAATAAATAGAATAAATATAAAGAAAAGCACATCTAGGCATAATATAGTCAATCTGCTGAAAACTGAAGGTAGACTATCTAGACAAAAAGCCAGAGGGAAAAAAAGAAATTTTATATACAGGGGAATAACAATAGGACTTCTTATCACAAACAGCAGGGACCAGAAGAAAATGAAACCACCTTTTTAAATCACTGAAAGAAAAGAAGTGTCAACCCAGAATTTTATATCCAGTAATTATCCCTTTAAAATGAGAGTGAGATAAAGAAATTTCCAGTAACAAATGTGAGGGATAATTTGTCACCAGCAAATCTACACGACAAAGAATGCTAAAGGAAGTTCTTCAGGTTCAAGGGAAATGATAGCAGATAGAGCAGAGATCTACTGGAAGTAATGAAGTCCAGCAATGGTAAATATGTGGGTAATTACAAAACATTATCTTGTATTTTCATCTCTTAATTTCTTTAAAAGATAACTGTTGAAAGCAAAAATATAAAAAATATGTAATATTTAGGGAGTTTATAAATTGTGTAGAAATAAAATATATGACAATAAAACAATAAACAAGGGAGGAAGAGACAACGTGCCTGGGGCTGAGCTTTCTCATTGGCTTTCACTCCTTCCTTCTCTTCCCATTTATTGGGGCCAAGCTCATGGCTAGTGCACCCAGTAAGGGACTGGGGTAGGAGGTGGGTAGGAGGTGGGTAGCTGGCATGTCCCAGCTGGGGGAGAGGTGTGTCCAAGGTCCAGCTTTGGGTGGCATGCTAGGCTAGGATTGTAGAAAGGGGAGCTGTCTGTGGCTGATCTTTCATGGCTGGGAGTTTGGCTACATGGAGCATGGAGGAGGTTTGAGCAAATAAGGAAATTACATTGAGGATCATAGGAGCTGGGTTTCTCACTGTTGAAGAGAGTTAGAAACATGGACGGGGGAAAACTAGACGTAAGTTCAGTGGTGCTGGATTCAAATTGAAGATTCAATGTGAACTCATGGTTTATAATATTTATATATAGATATACAAATAGATATAGATGCTTGCATGTCTGTGTGTGTGTGTTCTGTGAGAAAGCCCAGACCAATAATACTTCTATAGCAATGAGCACACCTATGGCTGAAATCTTAGTTTCTAAATACCGTTGTCCACTAAAAGGAACCAGGGGTCTTGGAGAAATAGCTCACTCCAGGGCTGGGGCAGAAAAAATATAAGATGAACCTGAAATATTGTGCAGCACCAGAAATTAAAGAAGTGCTCAAAGACTGATGAGATATGCCAAGAGGACATTTAAGTCAGCTTGAAGCAACTGCCACTAGCCAAATCTGGACAATTTGAGCATTAATATAAATAAAAGATCAGATTAGTAACCTTTTTAGTAAAATATCAATCTATTAGGCAGATATAAGTAAAAGAATATGTAAATAAATGTGGGAGAATAGAAGCTCTGTCTTAAAATCAAAAGCCAACTAATACATTTAAAAAGAACGATGGAATTAAAAAAATCACCATTTGGCAACTATCATAGTAATCCTCAATTCAGGCAACAATCAGGCAAGAATCTGGTGCATGAACTTTTGATGAGGAACAACATTTACATAGACTCAAAGTATCTCTTACAACATACTACCTACATATTTATTAATAAGTCTATGTATGCTAATTAACTTTACAGTGGAAAAACCTGGGAAGATGCTGTCTTAACTAAATAATGAGCCAAATTACCATCTCCTGCCTTGTGATGCAGTGAGAAATATTAGCACCAATTCTATGGTATTCTTGCCAAAATGCCTAAATCATGAAGAAACATCACGCAAACCCAGATCAAGGGACATTCTACAAAGTAACTGACCTTTATTCTTCAAAACTGTCAAAGAATACAAGAAAAACCTGAGGAACTGTTTCAGACTCAAGGAGACTAAGACATGTTATCTAAATCTCACATGTAATCCTGGATTAGATTGTCAGCCTATAAAGGATATTATTGGAACAACTGGCAAATCTGAATGGAATCAGTGGATTAGATTTTCCTGATTTTGATGGTTATACTGTGGTTATGTAGGAGTGTGTCCTTATACTTAGAAAGTACACTGTGAAGGATTAAGGAGTAATGGGGCATCATGTCTGTGGTTTATTTCAAAATGGATCGGAAATGTTAGCATTGGGGGAAGCTGTGTGAAGGGCCTTGTGATCTCCGTTTATTATTTCAGCAACTTTAATGTAAGCTTGATGTTATTTCAAAATAAAATTCAGAAAATTCATAGGCTATGCATTTAGGAAGGTGGAGGATATTCACTTTCTTCCTGCTTCACTTCATGATTCCCAGCTGAGAGAACCCCTTTCTGAGAGTATTAATCTAGATTAGTGGTTCACTGAGTGTTGCCTGATAACAGAGCCACTATGATTTTATGACAATGTGCATTCCAGCTTTCCAATAACTTTTGGACCTAATATTTGGGCAATTTATGATCTACCAAGATACTCAAGGAATGATGAGGCTTAGTGGGTAGTATGTGACTGTTCTTTACAGATAGTTTTAGGAGGAAAACAATAACTGAGTTAATTCATACCAGTGTGGGTACAGTCTTATGTGACCCTGTCAAAAAAAGTGAGAGGGGAGCCATGGTGGTAGAATTCTCTGAGGGGAAGAATTTAGGCAATGGTAGGAAAAGGTAGTTTTGAGTAAAGAAACTTCCATAAAGGTAATCTGGTTTTGCTTTGGCCTTGTAGTCAAATCTCCTATACCTATATTGTTTTTCACCATTTATTTCCTTTGGATCTGACGTTTTCAAAAGCTCTCCTCTCTCCCTTTGGATAATAGTTAAGTATTTTTCAAGATATGCTTCATAAAACCTAATAGTTTTTTTCTTTTGCCTTTAATTGGAAACTGCCAAAACATTGTCTAAAGAACTGTAATGTCCTAGAATCTTAGTTGGGTTACTCAAACAGCCATGCTATGCATATATACTTTGGACTCCTCATTTAGTTGAGTCTATAAAGTTTTAATTCTATGGGCTTAGAATATTTCCATGTCTATTGTCTTTTTCCCGTTCACTTCGGGCTTTCATTCTTTCCTCCTCCCCCATCCTAAATCTTTACTTCTCTACCAAAGCTACTAAAAAATGTCTAGTATATGCTTTAAACTACCATTCAAAGCTTAAAATCCTATAATTATTTACTTCCTTACATTCTTATATTAGCTTGTTTACTTGTGATTTGATGTATATATTTTTCTTCTTTTAACAGATGTTCAGAGAATTCCAACTTCTTACAAGAACAGATATTTATAAGAAAACAAGGCATATTTTGGAATCCTATTCAGAAAATATACTGACTTCTTTTATAGTGGCAGATAATCCAATCAATATTGCCTTGCAAGAAAAAATGAAACAGTACACAGATGAAGACATGTTGAAACGTTAGTAAACCTGCTACAGGGGTGACCTGGTCTCAGCCATCTGTATAATTCAGGATAATTGGTCATGCTCCTGTTTGGTAATAAGTGTAATTCAGTGAAACAGCTGGTGGGAAAGAAGAATTTCTCAAATAAGGGATGTAGGTATAGATTTAAAAAGCACACTCAATACTGTAAAATTATATTTAGGGAACTGGTAACCTGTTAATTTTATAATACAAATCATAAAGTAAGGCAGAGCAAAACCATCCTGATAGGACAGAGAGTATAGAACTCTCTTCTCCTGTCAGTAATTCTGAGGGCAGAACATGAGATTTTTAATGTTTACTAGAAGGGGATGTTGGTTAAATACAAATGGGAAACACTGATCTAAGAAGGCTCATTTGTTCTCTGTTGTTATTGGGTGCCATTTAGTCGATTTTTGACTGATGTGACAAAGGAGAACTGCCCCATAGGGTTTCCTAGGCTGTAATCTTTATGGGAGCAGATTGCCAGGTCTTTCTCCCGTGGAGGAACTGCCAACCTTTCGGTTAGCAGCTGAGCCCTTAACCATTGTGCCACCAGGGCTCCTTGTTCTCTGTAGTAGGTGACAATTATTTAAAAAAAAAAGAAAAAAGTTATTTTAATACTCGTTTTGTTTATACTTGGTGAAAGCTTATTTTTACTTAGGACTGTAAATGTGTTTGCTTTGACAGATATGAAGATGACGGCCACATGTTTACTCCTACCAGATGTTTTTGGGGATGATCCCAGCCTTTTTGTTGTTGTGAATGAGAAGGTATGCAATCTGCAAATGAATATTGGTTTGATATTTCCCGTTTTAATAGAATCATTTATTTAAAAGTAGGATGGTGGTCTGTTTTGAAGTATGTTTTGTCGTATTTTCAAATAAGCTAAATTGCAACCAGCTCATTTATTGTAATATCATGGTTAAGTTCAGGTATGTTTTATTATTTAGCTATTTTGCGTATTATCAGATAGTGACTCCATTATCTTTTATTTCAGGTGCAGGTGTCAACGCCCGTGTTAGAAGTTAAAAACCCTTTCAACATCAGTGACTGTGAATTTTCTTTGTATTTAGAAAAAGAGAGGCTCACAAAGGTGGATGACTGTGTCACGGCCTTGGCTGCGCTCATCGCTGCCTTTCATGTATTTGGGATTAAGTGTCCACAAAGACTCTGCCAAACCCTCAAATTCCTGAAGACACTGATTTTTGATATGCATCATCCCTATTTTCCCTCTATAACAGAAAAGGAAAAGAAAGGAGGATTTCAACACCCAGTAATTTAATAGCATGCAAAAATGTTATATCAGAATTATCTCTGGGACCGCTTAACTTTATAAAAATTTGCTTTGATTTAGGGTGGTAGATGTAGATTAGAAAATCACCTTGAATCAAAGATGTTAAGGAATTCTAATGCCTTTGATCATTACATTTAGATATTAAGTTCTTCGTGAAATTCTGTAATAAAATACTGCTCAATTACAGAATCATTTATTGAGTTCCAAGAATTCCATGGTCAGTTTTACTTTCAAGGGTGTGTTAGTTTTTAAAAGACATGACATTTCAGATTTACTTGAATCCTTTGGATTAGGATACGACTGAAGAGATTTAATGCCCAGGAGCAGCAAACTTGGGGCCTGTGGGCTGCCTCTTTGGTTTAAACATTGCTTGGAAATGTTTTGAAGATTTTAAGAACGGGTGCATACTCCAGTTCTCCTTTCCTCCGTAGGACCTGCTTGGCCCCAGGTGTTTTATATTCAATCACACTTATTGAGAACAAGGGCTGCTTCATTCTTGATGTCTCTTTATTGCTAGCCGATCTTGCTGGCACGTTTTCTTATCATCTGTGGCTGTGTGATCTTCTGCTGCTTCCCTTCTCTGAAATTCAGCGATTGCCTGGTACTTGTTTCCCCACATGGTTTCTGGTTTCCCGTCTTGACTTTCAGGGCTTATGTCTGCTTGTGTGCCATTCCTGCTTGAGCAGGCAGACATGTTTTGGTCTCAAATACTTCCAGAACCATTTGGGTACCAGCTTCAAGTTTTCGGGTTAGGCCCCTTCCTAGACCTGCTATTTCGTCTCTCTCAGGAGTCCCAGTCCTGGTATCCCATCCCGTCTGCCCAAATGGTTACTGCCCAGAATCCCACGTTCTAATTTTATTTGCTTTGTTCCTAACGATGACTGCACAAGTACTTTTTGGGTCTAACAAGACTCAGTGCACTGTCACTCTTTTCCAAGTATTTCACAAGGAAAAAATAGATTTTTAAGGTGTCCTTGATGCCATCATCAAAACATAAATGCTACTTCTCAGTTTTGAAAGCTAGTACAGGTCTGGGGACTGAAGAGAGATTTAAGTGTGTTATTATCTGCATCACATTGCAATGAGCATTTCTTGGGTTATTTTATTTCATCACTTTAAAAAATGTTTAAGAAGAAAGGTATTCATGGGAATATTTAAAGAAATATTTTTATAACGTATCTTTGGATAGTACAAATTACTGTATTACTGAGATAACTAGTCTGCTGGATAATAACTGTTGTCTCTGTAAGGACTGCTCAGTCATTAAAATGCTTAAGTTGGGGAGATAAAAGGAAATGAAAGATCAGCTGCCCATCTGAACAGTGATTAGTCAACTACTTACAGCAGAATGGACAAGTAAATTACTTGGCACATTATCACTTTCACATAGACTAGTCCTTATCCCACGCTCTTTCTTTCTTTTCTGGACTGCACTTTTTTCTCAAATTACCTCCCCCACTTTTTAAATTTTACAATCTTAGTCCTTTTTGAGGAGATGAATTTGCCATGTTCTTCAAGATTACTTTCCTTACAAAGTGTTCAATCTCCATGGCTGAAGTTGAATAAAAGTGCCTCTCTGGGGCATAGTGATGGAGGGATAGTTGCAGAAAAACTGCAGTGAAGTTTCGCTTCAGGTATGACAAAGGACATGAGCTAACCATGAGGGCAGATCCATATAGACTTTATTGTCTCCTTCAACAGTTTATCTATCCTCAGCACCCACCATAGCCCTGCCACTTGGTAAAATTCAACATTGCTTGACTAAACAACCCTTATTTTCTTTGGAGGTTGAGTTCATAGAATCTAGAAATTGCAGAATGGCAGCCTACAGACATTTCAACCTGCAGACTGGTCTCATTTGGCTTGCACAATGTTTGTAATTTTTTCAATGCCTTTAGATGGGATAGGGGCTATCGTGTTCCACATCCCCCATCCCTTCTCTTTGTCTTACCTCAAGATTGCTTCTCTCACTTCAGTGACCTACGTCTCTGCCATCATGGCTTTTATTCCCTCTTATTAAAACTTAAGACTCAGGGTTGGAGTGGCAAAAGCACTCCCCCTTCCTGAGGTACACTAACTCCTGTGCCACCTGAGGGTGCTTAATGCCTTGCCTCTAACACATAGCAACCTGGAACTTAGAATGAAAGGGTATTTTCAGTTTTTAAAAATGTCTTTCATTATAATATATACTTTATACTACAAAGGAAAAATCCCCAATGGGTATGAATCCTACTTGACCTAAAAATAGTTTCTATTTTTTTTGGTCATTCTTCATATTATCTGGGACATAGTCTGACAAATGATTCTGAATCCTACTGATGAATGACACAGCCATCTAGTACCCATATGCTTCGTGTCATTCCTGCTCTTGTTCTCCCTCTCCTATGTGGCAAGCTTTCTTAAAAATCATACAGATGTGAAAAAGGCATCTCCAATTAAGATTTTATTTCATTCATATCAGACAGAACAAGTACAACTTGAATGTACAAATTCTGAACAAAACGTAAAAAAGGAAAAACTTATTAAACAGATTCATGCAAAGAAATGAATGGGACACTGTAGATGTCACTGACCCTGTTTTACCTGGAATTATGGCAAATGCAAAGAACTGCTAAAAGCCTTCCGACGCGACTACAGAACTTGGGGATATGGAAGGAGTTCTACATCAGAATAACTGATATCGACCAAGGAGAGAGGTGGAACTTCCCCAGAACTCTGAGAGCATGCTACAAACTTAACTTTCTATTTTTAAAAATAGTCCTTGAGTAAATTTCCAATCCTGGAATTAGAAACTACATCAAAAGGCTGATGAAATAATTTACCATTTTCCTTGCAAATGCAATCTTGCAAACAAAAACAAAACATAACACTACCAGCTATCAGTTTATAGGTAATCAGGGGTTTTCATTTAAAGTGCATCTGTACGCTTATAAATAGAGGCAAAGTGTTCTACAGAAAAAGGAATCCTTCCAACACGGAGGTAACCTGAATGACTGCTTTGGGAAATTGCCTCCTTGATCTGTGAGCTTTCAGAATCTTTGTCTACTGGTGTTGCTCCTTCACACCTTGCCTTTCCAGTAAAATCTACACTCTACACTCTCTCCTAGCCAACCCTGAAGAAAGCCTTTGGGTTTGGAGGACACTATGAGATCTGAGACAGCTCTTTATGAACTAGTAAAGACTAGACTGAGCCCTTCATCTCTAAAGCACCACAGTTACATCAACGACAAGAGAAAAGCTCAAGATAATCTCATAAATAGTTCAAGATTCTTACAAACACCCCTCCCAAATCTAACTGCATATTCCTTCGATACCATCTGACTCTCATAAAGACACAGGGCACCATGATGTATGAGACTGATGCCATTCAAATACATTACCTAATTTATTTACGTTTATATATTTTATTTTTCAATTTCATTCTTTTATATACACGTTTTTGGTAATTATAGTGAAGATGCTGGTGAAAAAGTAATTTGCTTAACATTTCATAATTCGTGCAAAAGAAAGAACATTGATTTAAAGAAAAGTAATTTTTACAACTATTCAGCTCCAACAAATTATTACAAGCAGTTAGGCAATATCATGACTTGCAAAGTTATACTTAGCATAATGTTGCAATTCAAAATATGGCACAAAATTAACAATACAGGTAACAGTCCCAACTGGCTAAACCTAGCCAGGTTTTGACTAATTTGGTTTAAGTTGAATTTTGATTATATAAAAAGGTTCCTGCAAGTATTGAAAAGGAAACAGTGTACATGAAAGAGAATTCAACAATGTTTACAAAATCCCAAAAGTTCTTATTCTGCCCCCCTTTATCCATAAATAATTAATGAAGGTTCCCCTTTCCCCCCACCTCCTAGCCTCAAAAAGATTTACAAAGATTAATTTAGCTCAGTGAACAGAACCAAAAAGATGACTGTTGTTAGACAGTACTTGCTTAAAAGCTCAAGCATTTTCAGAAAAATTCATATATTGTCTCTTGAGAAATATAAATAATCCGATAGCCTTGCTGTTTTGTGTTTTGGAGATTTCTCACTTAAGAGTTACAACCATCCTTGTGCTTTGAATAAAACATGAGCTTTAAAGTGGAAAGCTGATGGTATACAGAATTCACTGTCTTCAAAGTTCATTGTGAGAGTTCTTTTCTGCAGCTTTGAACATCAGGATAGAATTGAAAATTTTGAGAGCAGGGCCCAGCTTAATGCTCATAATTTTAACAATGTCCGTTTGGGTCATCAGCAGAAATGCTTCTCCATCAATTTGCTAAAATGAAGAGAAAACAAAAGAATGTGGATTAATGTGATGCAGTGTTAGGGGAAATGTTCAAAGTTAAATTATCAGCTGTCTTCTACATAGCAACACTAAAAACGTCACACATCAGGGTTCACTGTGGAACTTTTCTGATACACTGACCTTTCTTACCTGTAACAGCACAACTGTGCATACCCAAGTGTGAACTAGGAGCAAAGTTAAACTCAGTCATTAGAAAACTGCCCACAGGAAAATGAAAAGTGCCCGTATCTTCCCATGATTACTCTGACTCAGGTGCTGAGTCAAGATGGTTGCACAATATGGAAAAATCTGGGGTGCCTCAAATTTCATTCATATTATGGTAGGTTAATATATTAGAGAATAGGTCCACAAACATTTGTGGACGTAAAAGAATTCAGACAAACACTAGCCACATGCTAACAATTAAAAAAAAAAAAAATCCCTTCTCTTTCAGTTTTCTACTTTGCACAAAAAGTAAATCACACTCTTAAGAAAGATACTTCAATCCTGATTTTTAAGCTTAACATGAGTTAAGTCGTAATATGAGAAATGTACCACTGTTTTTTGGAAATTATTTGTTCTAGTCTCATTTGCTTTTGCGATTACAGTTCCCTGATAAAACAAGGCCAGGCAGAGAGGCAGATCTATGAACACTTCACTCAACTCAGGCAAAGTTTAGCGGAATGGACAGTCTGAGAGAAGTCTTCTGAGTCATTAACAAGAATGTCAACATTTGGGAGCTCATGACAAAGACTGACTGGTTAATTACAACCTTGGCCCTACTGAAGTCTTACAAGAGCCACAGAGTCTTCTCCTGGTTCTGTGTAAGAATTTCACATGACAGATTCTTTCAACAAAAACTCATTAAACATCTACTGTGTTCAGACACTCTAGGGCCTGGACATGCAGCAGAAAACAAAATAGATAAAAAAACAAACATAAAAATCTCTTTCTGGAGTTCACATTCTAGAAGTGGAAGACAGACTATAAGCAATAAACGTATTAAATAAGCAAACTAATTAGTAAGTTAGAAGGTGATTAGTGCTATGAAAAAACAGCTGGTTGGGGAGATGGCTGGAGCAGCAAGGAGGGGCAGGGAACTGTGTGGCGGCAGGTGGCAATTTCAAGTCAGATGATCAGGGTAGGACTCATTGTGAAGGTGGCATCTGAGCAGAAGGAGTGAGCCACGGGAACATGTGAAGCAGAGCATTTCAGGCAGAAGAAAGAGCCAGAGCACGTCTAGCAAATTTGAGGAACAGCAAGAAGGCCAGTGTGGCTGGAATAGCGTAAGCAAGAGGCAGAGTAGAAAAAGAGGTCAATAGGTGAGAGGGGTAATAGGTATCAGATTGTAGGGCCTTGTAGGCCTTTGGCTTTTACTCTGAGATAAGAAGATACTAGAAGGATCTGAAGACAGAAGTGACATGATTTGACTTATGTTTTAGCAGGATCACCTGGCTGTGTTGGGAATAGATTGTAAAGGAGCAAACATAGAAGCAGGGGGAAAAAAAAAACCTAAGAACGAAAACTCCACACATTATCTACTGCAGGAAAATGTTTTCTGAGATTACTTAGGAGTTTATTACATTAACCCAAGTGGGAGACTGATGGTGGCTTGGACCAGGGTGGAAGAAGTAGAGGTGAAGAAATATATCAGAATCCCTACATGTTTTGAAAAAACATCCAAGAGGACTTTCGACAGATGACATGTGTAGAGTGTAAGGGAAAAAGGGAGCTCAATAATAGCCCATCCTATTATTAATAATTTGCCTTTTAGAAGTGACTTACAAGAATTTAATTAGGTTTATATTATGGTTCACTTCTAGGACTCAAAACCAATGCCTGCTGATCTTGTGAGGCACTTGAGAGCAAAGATCAAGTTTTATTATCTTTGAATCATCCTTCTTACCAGGGCATAACACAGAGTGACATGCACACAGTAAGACTATAACAAACGTTCACAGGATGAGTAAGGGAATGAATGAACATACGAATGACAAATGTAGACAGGTAAGTTTGCTGTCACACTCCTCAAAGGAAGGATTCTGGCTTTAAGAAGATTTGCTGCTTGATGAACATCTCCCAAGATAATATGCCATGAAGAAAAAATTATTCACAGAAATAATGTATTGTTTTGAATTTGAACTTGAATCTTATTTAAACTAAATAGTAACATGAACCCATATAGACTGTCTACATAATGACAGAATTAAAAACAGAATTTATAAAATAGATGTACTATAATTTTGTTTTAAAAAATTTTTAAAGTTTTCTAAAGATAATGGCTACATGTCTCTTCTATAGGAAGAGCAACAGGCTCCTTTGTGTATCTGAGTCTGTTCAGGAATCTAAATTTAACTGGGAGTGGTCCACAAAGGCACTTAGGGCTTAGGAGTTGGGGGAAGAAACTCAAAATATAAATACTGCCAATTAAAGAGCAATTTATTTCTGAAATAAGAACTTCAATCAGAATGAGGATGTTTAGTATCAGATCCGTGTGCATTTTTAGAGGGACACATCGAAAGCATTATGGCATCTCCTAGTATACCAGCACTGACTACCAGTGGCTGGGTTCTTAGTTGTACCTACACTCTTGCTGTGCTCTTAATCGAAAGTCTGCTGTTCTAACAGTCAAGGCTTAAACATGGGGCAAACAAGGTGTATGTGCCTATAACTGCAGACAGTAGATGTTGGAAGAAGCCTCTGAGATTACTTAGTCTATTTTCTGCCTTCTGGCAGCATTACAGAGCCAAGATCTGAGTGACAACTGACTACTCTGCTTAGAGGAGATGACAGGTGAGTTCCTTATTCTTAAAGGCCTCCAGAGAAAAGAGATAGTACAGTCAGAAGTATACCAGTATAGTTAGAAATCGAATTCCTTCTTATTCTATGCATGATATAAATGACATCATTATTAATCATCCCTTATATAGAAGTTTTGGATAGACAGTTGAAAACAAGTAATAATCTTTCAAAAGCAACCTGTAACCAATATCAATTATTATAAACTTCACTGAGAGAAAAGATCTAAGGGATTGTTTTTTTAAAGAAATGATGGTAATATTTAAAGCACCAAATAGACTTTGGTGTCAAAATGATGTGTAAATATAAAATAATGGGAACTATTTCACTTTATTAAAAAATTAAATACTGCTTATTTCTTTCTTTGGTTTCTTTATGTGCTATAAACTATATAAAACTATTACATTTTGATTTTTATAAAGTCTAGTGCTGTTGCTATGGGGCATCATAAAATGGTACTTATAAACATTTTTCTTAGCATCTCATCTTACTCAAGACATTTTTATAAAACTGATTAAGACCGCCTGTTAGACATCTAAGTATCAATTTGTCAATTTCAACATAACCTATCTCCTTCAGCCTCTGCCAACTCAACTCATTTCACCATCCACAGTGTTTCAGTACTTTGATCCCTTAAAGTAACATACTGCAATTTAGCAGAACACTTACTTCATCTTTAAATACTTTTCCATGTTCTTCACACCCAGGTAAGCTCTGTATAAATTCTGACACCTGTCAAAAATGATACCAAAATACTCAGTTTAAAAAAAAAAAGTCAGAGTCTGAATGCTACAGGTTCAAAATATTTAACCCATACGTGTTTTAACAGTTCCTCTCAGCATGACCTCTTCTCGTTCAATAAAATAAAATAAAAACCGACTAAAACCTGCACACATTCAATGTGTCCACTCCTTAACCAGGTACTCCTATGTTTGGTTCTTCGCAAAGAAAATAGAACATACCTCATCTGTGCTCCACTTAGAAACTTTACTTGCAGGGATTCCGGCTACAGTTGGAAGAAGTTTGCTTTGCTGCTCCCAGCGCAAGGGGAGACATGGAATTGGGGACTTAAAGGAAAGAAAGACAGCTGACCGACGCTGTGCCTGTTGTACAGTAGGTTCTTCCCGGGTACCTTCAATTGAAACAAATGGGAAATCACTCTCTGAAAAGCAGCAACAAAAGCTTCAAATGTCATGCATCTACCAAAATAATGAGAGGGTGGTTATAGCACTGACTCCCTTCAGCATGATATTCATTAATTATACACTTCTTTGCCCATACTAAAGGTCACTATAAGAAACAACTCGTAAATCCAACTTACGTGTTTGCTGCATCACCCATTATTGAAGACATGTTTCAGTATGTCACTCAATGTTGCCTTTTTAATACTTCAGGAAAGAAATTTGCCTCAGAGTTTTAGCAGCAAGGAAAAAAAAAAGTCCACCAACTATTTACCATTATAGGTATTAATGATTGTTCTCTCCTTTTATCTCAGCCCTGATTTGTTCTTTCAATTTATATTTATTAATTGTATTGACTTTTTAAAAAGAAAAGTTAAATTTTTTTGAAAGAAAAGAATATGAAATTATTTCAATAAAATGAAAACAGCAGAAAAGCAAAAAAAATTTTTTTTGGAGAGGCTCTGTTATTTATTTTTCAGTGCTTAACAAAACAGTTCAAGGAGACCCAATGTCAGGCCCAGAAGTGAAATATTGTATTTTGAAAATGGTGCTTTAATACCTAGATGAAAAAGGAGTCAGATTCAGGACAGAATGTGGTTTAGTCCAGATGACTTCTTTGTCTTTTCTTTTTTAAATTGTATTTTTGATGAAGGTTTACAGAACTAGAACTCACTGCTGTCAAGTCGATTCCAACTCATAGCGACCCTACAGGACAGAGTAGAACGGCCCCGTAGAGTTTCCAAGGAGCACCTGGTGAAATCTGACCTGCTGACCTTTTGGTTAGAAGCTGTAACGCTTAACCACTGTGCCACCAGTTTCTCATTAAACAATTAGTACACATACTGTTTTGTGACACTGGATGCCAACCCCACTACATGTCAACACTCTCCCCTTCTCTACTTTGGGTTCCCTATTACCAGCTTTCTTGTCCTCTCCTACCTTCTTGTCCTTGCCCCTGGGCTGGTGTGCCCATTTAGCCTCGTTTTGTTTTATGGGCCTGTCTAATCTTTGGCTGAAGGGTGAACCTCAGGAGTGACTTCAGTACTGGGCTAAAAGGGTATCTGGGGGCCATGCTCTCAGGGTTTCTCGAGTCTCTGTCAGGTAAGTCTGGTCGTCATCTTCTTTTTTTTTTTTTTTTTTAATGAATTAAAATTTTGTTCTACATTTTTCTCCAGCTCTGTCCAGGATCCTCTATTGTGATCCTTGCCAGAGTAGTCAGTGGTGGCAGCCTGGCACCATCTAGTTATGCTGGACTCAGTCTGGTGGAGGCTGTAGTACTTTGGTCCTTTGGACTAATCCTTCCCTTGTGTCTTTGGTATTCTTCATTCTCCTGTGATCCTGACAGTGTAAGACCAGTGGAGATCTTAGATGGCCGCTCTCTAGCTTTTAAAACCCCAGATGCTACACACAAAAGTACGATGTAGAAAACTTTCCTTATAAACTATGTTATGCCAAGTGAGCTAGATGTTCCCCAAGATCATGGTCCCCACAGCCCTCAGCACAGTTAATTTGGTCCCTCAGGGAGTTTGGATGTATCTATGGAACTTCCATGGCCTTGCCTTGGACAAGTTGTGCAGGCTTCCCCAATATGGTGTACTGTCTTACCCTTCACCGAAGTTTCCACTTATCTATTGTCTATTTAGTGTTTTTCCCTCCCCACTCTTCCCTTCCCTCGTAACTATCAAAGATAGTTTCTTTTTGTGTGTAAACCTTTTCATGAGTTTTTAAAGTAGTGGCCTCATATAATATCTGTCCTTTTGTGACTGACTTCTTTCACCCAGCATAATGCCCTCCAGATTCATCCATGTTGTGAGATGCTTTGCAGATTCATCATTGTTCTTAATCATTGCATAGAACTCCATTGTGTGTATGTACCATAGTTTGTTTATCCATTCATCTGTTGATGGGCAACTGGGTTGCTTCAATCTTTTTGCTATTGTGAACAGTGCTGCAATGAACATGGATGTGCATATGTCTATTCGTGTGACAGCTCTTATTTCTCTAGGATATATTTCTAGGAGTGGGATTGCTGTATCATACGCTATTTCTATCTCTAGATTTTAAGGAAGCACCATATTGTTTTCCAAAATGGTTGTACCAGTTTGCATTCCCACCAGCAGTGCATAAGAGTTCCAGTCTTCCTGTACCCTCAACATTTGTTATTTTCTGTTTCTTTTTGATTCATGCCATTAATGTCAGGGTGAGATGGTATCTTATTGTGGTTCTGATTTGCATTTCTTAATGGCTAGTGATTGCGAGCATTTTCTCACGTGTCTGTCTGTTAGCCGTTTGAATGTCTTTTTTGGTGAAGTGTCTGTTCACAGCCTTTGCTCATTTTTTAATTGGGTTATTTGTCTTTTTGTTCTGGAGGTGTTGGATTTTCCTGCAGACTTTAGAGATTAGACCTTTGTCTGATCTGTCATAGCCAAAAATCTTTTTCCCCAGCCTGTAGGTTCTCTTTTTACTCTTTTGAAGTCTTTTGATGAGCGTGTTTAATTTTTAGATGATCCCAGTTATCTAGCTTATCTTCTGGAGTTTGTATATTGTTAGTTATGGCTTGGATCCTGTTAATGCTGTACATTAGGGCCTCTAGTGTTGATCCTATTTTTTCTTCTATGAACTTTATAGTTTTTGGCTTTATATTTAGGTCTTTGATCCATTATGAATTAGTTTTTGTGTATGAAATATGGATACTATTTTTTTGCAGATGGACATCCAGTTTTGCCAGCATCATCTGTTAAAAAGACTGTCTTTTCCCCATTTGATGGACTTTGCGCCATGTCAAAGATCAGGTAACCACAGGTGGATGGATTTACATCTGGGTCCTCAATTCTGTTCCATTGGTTAATGCATCTGTTGTTGTACCAGTACCAGGTTGTTCTGACTACCATGGCTGTACAGTAGGTTCTAGGGTCAGGTAGTGTGAGTCTTTCTACTTTATTCTTCTTCAATAGTGCTTTACTTATCTGGAGCCTTTTCCCTTTCCATATAAAGTTAATGACTAGTGTTCCCATCTCTTTAAAGAATGATGTTGGTTTGGGGATTGCGATTGCAGTGTATTTGTAGACTGGAAAAACAAATGTTTTTGTCATTTTTCATTTGTGCAGATAAACATTAAAACTACAAAGCATTCTATTTGAGTGCTAGCTCTTCTTAATCCAAACCTAGTTTTACTGCTGTACTCTTAGAATAGCCGTTTGCTAGCAAATGATTGGTGTCCTTGGGGATTGACTTAAAGCCTGTCAATAATTATCCCCTTACTATTATTGAGAACAGAAATCTCTGTGGAAATACTTACTCAAAGCACCTCAGAGAAAGGCAACTCCCCATTTTCTCTCTCCTTATACACCAGCCCAGCTACACTGATATTTCTATTCCACCACAAATTCTTGCCAAATGGTTACCTAGTTTAGGCTTTTGCACCTACCACTAAGGACTTTTTAAAGGAAGTGTTTTTAAATGGAAAAATAAGACTTACATAAAACTGTATAAATCCTAAGTGTACAGCTCAATGAATTTCTACAATGTGCAAAATACCCACATTGACATATCTATTGAAATCTTTGCTTACCCCAAGGTCATCGTCTCCTCTGTTTTTCTTAAAAAAAAAAAAAACTGTTTTACCTTTCATGTATCTACAGTTATCTGAAATTTTTGTGTATGTATGAGGTTAAGTATCAATATTCATTTTTTCCCACATGGATTTCTAATTGGCCAAACATGGTTTATGGAAAAGATCATCCCTTTCCTACCATAATGCACTGACAGCTTTATCATAAATATGAATGTGGTGCGTTTCCAGAGTCTCTATCACGTTATATATGTACAGATGACTGTGATCAAGGTTGTGATTGCTTTGGCTATTCTTATCGCTTTGCATTTCCACATACACTTTAGAATCAGCTTATTAAAAAATATGATAGGATTTAGACTGGGATTACCAATGACTATATAGGGTTGCTATGAGTTGGAATTGACTCAACAGCAACAGGTATATGGGAGTCCTGGTGGCACAATAGTTAAGTGCTCAGCTGCTAATGGAAAGGTCAGCCGTTCAAACTCATCATCTGCTCTGTGAGAGAAAGATGTGGCAGTCTCCTTTCGTAAAGATTACAGTCTTGGAAATCCTATGGGGCAATTCCACTGTGTCCTACAGGGTTGCTATGAGTTGGAATCAACTTGACGGCAATAGGTTTGGCTTTTGGTTTTACAGATCAGTTTAAGAAGCCCTGATAGAGTTGGTATGAGTTGAAATCAACTTCAGAGCCCCTAATAACAACATAGATCAATTTGGTGAGAAACGACAATATCTAATCTTCCAATCAATGAACAAGGTATATATATCCCTCCATTTAATAGTTCCTATTAATGTTTTGTGATTTTCATGCAGAGGACTTGCATATCTTTTGTTAAATTTATTCCTATCTATCTGATGTTTTCTGATGCTATTATAAGTGGTATTTTTTTTAAAATTTATTTCCTACTGTTTTATTGTAGTTCTCTTTTCTCTTAAGATAGACTAATCTAAACTTTGAATCACTCTAAATGTTAGAAAGTCACTGTGTTGAGTCAAAATTTATCTTACTGGAGGGTAACATCCACTGATCCTAATTCTACTTCACTGAGCTCACACAGAAAAAATTTAGTATCTGTTCCACATGAAACATTTAATTCTTCAAATATTTTTTAAAAAGCTATCATGGCCCCCTTTTCCATAATTCATTCAGCCAATATTGCATAGTCAGTTTTAAGGTTTTAGATGCTCATCATATTTTACTGAATATCTATTATGAGCCAAGTATTATAAACCAGTAGTTTATTTTTATTATTTTTAAAATGCCTAGATTTCAAGATGTTTTTGTTTAACATAAATACACAATAAATTAAAAAAATTTTCTTAATCTCAGATTCCCCAAGTATTCAGCAATTATTTGAAATACTTTGTATTTAT